GACGTCATTCGTCTTATAATTACCAACACATTCTCTGGTGCTAAGTATTATCCAAGACAGAATATCGGAAACTAACCTGTCGGATTTTTTAAATACATTACCAGTTAATATATAAACAAACTCAACTTTCACCCAACACCATAACTCATATATGGAATATGTGATAATTCTAAACATGAAATTATATATTTTTAAGAATACTATTTAATAATTTCTTAAAATTCAGTGAATACGCTGTTAAAATGTTTTTATTCTGCATATGAATTGAAGCGGCATTTATGAAATTTTTTAATAAATGTTACAGACTTTTGTCTGAATTTTAGGGGACCTATTACATTTTTGAAAGTTTTGAAGGTTCCGCTCTGCACAGAAGTAGTCAATGATTACGAAGTCGTTTTCAATCAGGATTATTAGCTTCTGAAGAGTTTAGAACGTGGGAGGTACGAACCAAATTGTAGCTTTCAATTCCGCTGTGATTTAGCAAAAGCACTTGCACCTGGCTGGAGCATCATTTTGTGTGATGCAGTGAACGCTCTCATGAACCTCCATCACTGCTGAGAGGGAGGGGGATGCAGAGAGAGAGAACATATTTCCGAAAGAGAACGAATTACTAAACAAAGAGCATGATGCTTGGAAAGGACACGGTGTAGAGAGAGAATATAATGCGGAGCAAAAACATTTTGCAGATAGAGACCAAATTGATAAGATATCACATAATGATGAGAGAGAGAGAACGTAATGATGAAAAAAGAACGTGTTCCATAAGAAACAACGTAATTCTGAGAGATACCATATTGTTTGAGAGATACCATATTGCCTGAGGGATAACATACTACTTGAGAGATACGATTTTGGCATCCTTCGCTTCTTACTCAACTTGTTCCAGTCGTGTACCATTGTACTCACCTAATTGTACTCACCTAATTGTGCTTACGGGGGTTGAGCTTTGGCTCTTTGGTCCCGCCTCTCAACTGTCAATCAACTGGTGTACAGATTCCTGAGCCTACTGGGCTCTATCATATCTACATTTGAAACTGTGTATGGAGTCAGCCTCCACCACATCACTTCCTAGTGCATTCCATTTATTAACTACTCTGGCACTGAAAAAATTCTTTCTAACGTCTCTGTGGCTCATCTGGGTACTAAGTTTCCACCTGTGTCCCCTTGTTCGTGTCCCACCCGTGCTGAAGAGTTTGTCTTTGTCCACCCTGTCAATTCCCCTGAGAATTTTGTAGGTGGTTATCATGTCTCCCCTTACTCTTCTGTTTTCCAGGGATGTGAGGTTCAGCTCCTTTAGCCTTTCCTAGTAGCTCAATCCTCTCAGTTCCGGGACGAGCCTGGTGACATACCGCTGAATCTTCACACTGTGTGTGTGTGTGTGTGTGTGTGTGTGTGTGTGTGTGTATGTGTGTGTGTGTGTGTACTCACCTAGTTGTACTCACCTAGTTATACTTGCGGGGTTGAACTCTGGTTCTTTGGTTCCGCCTCTCACTCGTCAATCAACTGATGTACAGATTCCTGAGCCTCCTGGGCTCAGTCATATCTACATTTGAAACTGTGTATGGAGTCAGCCTCCACCACATCACTTCCTAGTGCATTTCATCTGTTTACTACTCTTGCATTGATAAAGTTCTTTCTAAGGTCCTTGTGGCTCATTTCGGCACTCAGTTTCCACCTATGTCCCTTTGTTCGCGTAACCCTCTCCTCCCTCTCCGTGTTAAACAGTTTATACTTTTCAACCCTGCAAATTCCTCTGCGAATTTTGTAGGTAGTGATCATGTCTCCCCCTTACTCTTCTGTCTTCCAGTGTCGTGGGGTGCATTTCACGCAGCATTTCTTCGTAACTCATGCCTCTTTTTTCTGGGACTAGCCTCGTGGCATACCTCAGAACTTTTTCTAGCTTTGTCATGTGCTTGGCAACGTACGGGCTCCATGCTGGGGCCGAATACTCCAGGATAGGTATTACATATGTGGTATATAAGGTTCTGAATGATTCCTTACAAAGGTTCCTGAAGGCAGTTTTGATGTTAGCTAGCCTTGCATACGCTGCAGATGTTATTCTTTTTATGTGGGCCTCAGAAGACAGGCCCGTTTCATGAAGTACTTCATCTCCAATTCTGTATCCTGTGTCTGGCCTCATGTTTTCACCGCCTAGCTTCATTACCTTACATTTACTCGGGTTGAACGTCAGTAGCCATTTGTTGGATCGTCCATTCAGTTTGTCTAGGTCAACTTCTAGCCTCATACTATCTTCTTCTGTATTAATTCTTCTCATAATTTTTGCATCGTCACCAAACAATGAGATGAACGATTCTATACCCTCAGGGAAATCATTTGCATATATCAGAAACAGTATAGGCTCAAGGACTGTACCCTGTTGGACTCTACTGGTGACGCCTCGCCAATATGAGATCTCACAGTGACTGGAAGTCTTCTGTTGCTTAGGTACGCCGTTATCCAATGGAGTACCTTCCCTTTCACTCCAGCCTGCATCTCCAGCTTTTGCACTAGTATCTTGTATGGTACTGTGTCAAAGGTTTTCTGGCAATCCAAAAATATGCAGGCTGCCCAGCCCTCTCTTTCTTGCTTTCTTGTGTTTGTCTTCACCTAGTTGTGCTTGCGGGAGTTGAGCTCTGCTCTTTCGGCCCACGTCTCAACTGTCAATCAATCAACTGTTACTAACTACTAACTAATGTATACTAATTTCCACACACATACACCCCCAGGAAGCAGCCTGTAACAGCTGTCTAACTCCCAGGTACCTATTTACTGCTAGGTAACAGGGGCATTAGGGTGAAAGAAACTCGGCCCATTGTTCCTCGCCGGCGCCGGGAATCGAACCCGGGGTTACGAGTCTCGCGCGCTGTCCACTCATCTACTAGCGCCCGCGCGCGCGCGCGCGCGCGTGTGTGTGTGTGTGTGTGTGTGTGTGTGTGTGTGTGTGTGTGTGTGCCTCGGTGTCGTCAAGGGCACTATTCTGGGCTGCACTTAAAGAGACGTAAACTCATGTGCGAACGAAAGGATGTGAATTGAATAGCATAAAGACCAAATGCATTTCGAAACAGTACTAAAAGGAACGAAACGAAAGTGGGTGTTGTACTTGCGTCATAAAATATTAATATCTTAATGCAGAAAGAAGGACCATGTATGTGTATATGTGTGTGTGGGGGGGATGATATCTCGATGTTTTCCGGGAAATCAGAAATTGGCCCAAAGCTGATCATAAAAGATATCAGGAATATATAGGCGACTATTGCCACGATTACGGAGGCAAACTCTGTAAATGGTATGCGATAATTTTTCAGGCGTCTTTGAGGGGAAAGCGTATTCGCGTGATATTGAGATTTTGCCCGTGAATATTGCTAATGGTCGATTTAATAGAGGCATTTTGAGGCCGATATGGGTGGAAAGAATTTTAGTCACCTGCGTTTGTGTGTGTGTGTGTGTGTGTGTGTGTGTGTGTGTGTGTGTGTGTGTGTGTGTGTTTTCCACCTGAATGTGGTAGTTGGGGTATGAGTCGTCTCTTAAGTATTATTTGCTAAATTATATGCTATTTTAAAACAAATTATTGTATATATATGTGTGTAATGAACAAGTTTCAACAGCTTGTTCATCTCTTTCTTTCCATCTATTTAAGAGGCGTTCGCAGAATAAACTGTCTTTTATATTTGTTATTCGTTTGTGAGTTAAGCTTCTTTAGATGTACCCTCGATTTGCTGGTTATAATTTTCAACAATACGTCTTTGTCTAGGTGGCTAATTCTTCATAAAATCATGTTTGTCATTATCACTTCTCCTATGTTCCATTTTTCGCTCAATATAAGGTTCACGTCACACCTATTTTTTTTTTAACCTCAGTCAACTTAGCTAATTTTCATGCCTTTATATTTTTAGGCTCATTCTTATTTGTTTTGGGGTGTAATAATTTGTTTTTGCATCAGGGACAGTGAAGATTTAACAACATCAGCAATGAACGTTCACAATACTGAAGCTGATTCCTTTAGTATTCACGGACACTGACACATGATATATATTCACTGGCATATTTCTACCGATATTCCTCTGAAGGATTTAACGTGGTCCTTGGCTTCTCTGATGCTCTCCTAATCCCTTTTGTTCTAGTTCCTCGCTCTCCTGCATGAGTTGTAATTGTCTTCTGTTCTTTAATTCATTGAACATCTTTTCCCTACAGGTCTGAGCCTCGAGCGCTCAAGGAAATTGGATAAAATATTTATAAGAGCTCCAAGTTCCTTTTTTTGTTGACTGGTTGGAGTGGGCAGAACTACGAATTCAGACTTCTTTGAGCTAGTAATTAACATGACTGATTAAAAAAAAATACATGATTCATACGAATGCAATACAGTTAGATAAACATGAAATGCTTAGATAATATATAAATCAATTATCAGAAATAATAATATTGAAATACGAAGAATGAAGTATTTATTTACAGAAACTAGTGCCATGAGCAAAACCTCAAATAAACGAACTATTTTATTACTGAATAAAGTGTTTTCTTTATTCGCAACTAATGAGTCATTCCAAATAACGTTTACAATGTGAACGAGAGAGACAATAATATAAAGTGGTTAAATAAATATGAAAACAACAAGAACTGAAAAGAAAAATGATAGAGATAATGTCCTGAGGGAAATAAAATAGTGGGAAAAACTGAGAAAAAGTTCAAAATATTATTTATAAAACGGGACGCTCTTAGAGAGGTCACTGTGACAAGGAGGCTGGTGGACGGCAACTGGGAAAGGTGAGAAAAAGAGAAACTCTTAATTTCTAGAAATAAAATTTTAAAAAAATGACAGAGAGAATACTTTGAAAGAAAGTCGAATGAGTACCTGTGATAAATATAAGCCTGATTAGATTGAAGGTTGTGAGAAGAGTTAGGTTAAAGTACCTACGAGTTCTCAAAGGCCAGGGAAGAGTGGGTCCGATTGGCAGGAAGCTGGTCTTGCTACCTTTGTCCATGAGCAGATCATATTGGGACAGGCCTCGGTGCCCACACCAAGCAGCAGCAGGCAGAGGAGGGCAGGACAGGCCTCGGTGCCTACATCAAGCAGCAGCAGGCAGAGGAGGGCAGGACAGGCCTCGGTGCCTACATCAAGCAGCAGCAGGCAGAGGAGGGCAGGACAGGCCTCGGTGCCTACATCAAGCAGCAGCAGGCAGAGGAGGGCAGGACAGGCCTCGGTGCCTACATCAAGCAGCAGCAGGCAGAGGAGGGTAGGACAGGCCTCGGTGCCCACATCAAGCAGCAGGAGGCAGAGGAAGGCGGGGCTGGCCTCGGTGCCCACACCAAGCAGCAGCAGGCAGAGGAGGGGGAGACAGGCCTCGGTGCCTACATCAAGCAGCAGCGGGCAGAGGAGGGCGGGACAGGCCTCGGTGTCTTCATCAAGCAGCAGCAGACAGAGGAGGGTGGGGCAGGCCTCGGTGCCCACATCAAGCAGCAGCAGGCAGAGGAGGGCAGGACAGGCCTCGGTGCCTACATCAAGCAGCAGCAGGCAGAGGAGGGCAGGGCAGGCCTCGGTGCCTTCATCAAGCAGCAGCGGGCAGAGGAGGGCGAGACAGGCCTCGGTGTCTTCATCAAGCAGCAGCAGACAGAGGAGGGTGGGGCAGGCCTCGGTGCCCACATCAAGCAGCAGCAGGCAGAGGAGGGCAGGACAGGCCTCGGTGCCTACATCAAGCAGCAGCAGGCAGAGGAGGGCAGGGCAGGCCTCGGTGCCCACATCAAGCAGCAGCAGGCAGAGGAGGGCGGGACAGGGCTCGGTGCCTTCATCAAGCAGCAGCAGACAGAGTAGGGTGGGACAGGCCTCGGTGCCTGCTAGTAATATTGTATCTCTGCTCCAGTCCTCCGCCACACCGCCTCTGCCTTAATTTCCGTTGTGGCGAGAAAATTACTGAAAGTTTAAACTAGTTTTTTTTCTACTCTCTCCTAATTTCCTAATATGAAACTTTGGGTGTGTATGAGCGCGTGTTAATGCATCTCTCGATTAAACAAGTCTCCATAAGGCTTTGTTTGTTTCTGCTGATCTGAGAATATCGTGCTTATCATCGTGTCATACAATTAATGCCGGACAACTGCTTAATCAAGTAATTATAAAATGATTGCATTTCAATCATTTTCGAAAAATTATACGAAAATAAAGTAAACGAGAGAAGGATAGATATATTATAAGAAAGATTGAATTATTATAAGCAATTTAAGGCGAATTCGTCCATGCAACACAGAGACTTTTGAAAGGAGACAATATTTCGTATAAAAGAAGGTATTAGAAATGCTTAAATAATTACGGAATTGAATATATATGGAATCATCGTCGATTTCGCTGAAGTTTTGACACTTCATCATTATCCTGGATCATTATCAAGTCGTCTATTACACGATTTGATAATGGTTCAGGAGTGATCGAAATGTCGTAGTTTCTTTCATTTTTAGATTTTTAGGGTTGAGTGAATATGTGGAACACAAGTGAATTATTCTTGGCGAAACATATTTGAAGAGCTATGATGAAATCTGGCAAAAATAAAGAAAATGCAACAGATTTAGTTTTAGGAAAAGAACGCATAACGACAAAAATATATATTCACTAACCTAATTTAAATAAACAATCGGATAAATTCATCGTGAACTAATGAGAATAACTGCAATAATGATTAGCAACATGTTGCATATGATACAACATTAACTGCCAACTTACGGAAATAATTCATACGAAGCCATCATACATCAGCAGTGAAATGAAAACTTTCTTGCAAAAAACGTGTATATATATATGCTGACGTTTAATCGCAAGTCGTATCAGAACCTGCTGGAGGTGAGCTGAGGCCAAACGGAAGTCAAGAGGATAAGGGGGATCACCCTTTAGGTGGTCTGAGCAAAGTTTGGCCGATGAGAATGTTTTTATTTTTTTTTTTAGCGAAATTTCTGCCATAAAAAAAGGGCCTAATGTTAGTGTTCCGGCTTGATGGGTAGTCGTTGGTCCAGGCTCGGGCCTGTCCATCATTTATGTGTCGTGAAGCTGATAGTAATTTTTTTTTAGTGTTCCTACATAATCTCTCTCTCTCTCTCTCTCTCTCTCTCTCTCTCTCTCTCTCTCTCTCTCTCTCTCTCTCTCTCTCTCTCTCTCCTCTCACTACATTTCACATTACCGTCTTATTGCAGTAAATTAAGAAAATAAATATTTATATTTGAGTACTCCAATTTACACTAAATAACTGTCCTCTGTTTCTCGTCTTTCCGCGTCAGTTTTCCTTGTCCGCTGTAGCTCCATCACTCCTACACTCCATCACTTATTCACTCCCTCTTTCCCTCCTTCTCTCACAGTTTACGAACGTACCCATAACGGCCAATAACCAAAAATTTGTTTACCGTTTATATCACAGTTGGCGGTGTCCCGCAACGCTGCTGCTGCGGATGATGATAGTTTTAGTTACGACTGTGTGTGTGTGTGTGTGTGTGTGTGTGTGTGTGTGTGTGTGTGTGTGTGTGTATGTGTGTGTGTGTGTGTGTGTGTGTGTGTGTGTGTGCCCGAGTCTCCGTTCAGCGTGTCTGTACTTGCGTGGGTGTGCGTGTTGCCCTAAACCATGGCAAAGTTGCAGTCTTACAATACTGAGTGAATTGATCCGCTTCATGTGTGAGCTCATCCACTCCACTGCCATGCCAAGGTTGCACCAGCGAGAGTTCCTCCGTGTTACTACCGTCCACGATTATTGTCCCTAATGTCCATTCTGGTTTTAAGGGGTTCTGTAACGGTTCGCTTGAGCACCCGTTAATGGATTCATTCACGAATCAATACATCTTGTTCTTTAGTTGCGGACAATTGTACTTTGCTTACACAATTGCACCACTATGATGGTGCAATTGTGCACCATCATAGTTGTGACATGACACATTTTCCTTTTCACATGCAACAAATTAGTGGTCGAGTACGTCCTGGGGAGACAGACAATGTCTCTCTGTCTGTCTCTGTTTACCCCTTTGACTTAGCTCACGGCTTTTATGATTGTCCTATCTCTATTTCCCATGCTTTATTGTGTGTTCTTATCGTGATTTTTGCTTTATTGCTGATTGTATTCTTTCGCTTTATTGCATAGGTAATTGTTTCCCGGGTTGCAGTGGTTGTGATATGACCTGAATAATGTTGATCATAGTGCTTATGTCTGGGCTTTTACCGAGGACTGTATTTTGAAAATTAGAGGTTATATTGACTTCTTTTTGGGTCATGGGCAATGGGGGATACCGTCTCTCTCTCTCTCTCTCTCTCTCTCTCTCTCTCTCTCTCTCTCTCTCTCTCTCTCTCTCTCTCTCTCTCTCTCTCTCTCTCTCTCTCACACACACACACACACACACACCTAAAAGTTTTAAATTAATCTTCTCTATAACTTTCGTTTGTATTTTTAGCCACATAAGGAATTTGAATGTTTACATGTTGTTACGTATGTAATACATTAGTATTATATATATGTAATACTATTTTGTTAATTATATATCGTATTAATATAATATATTTATAGACTTTTTTTTATCTAACTAATTATTAGACACATTAATCGAATACATATATAGTGAAAATATTCAACCATATATAAAAAGATAATAAATCAACTATAGAAAAAATTATCCAAATATACAGTCATATTATATTGCTATATATAAAAGTTTTTAGAAATTGAAGAAAATACATAACAATTTCTTATTTTCAAACGATGATTTTTGCCAATTTCATCGTTTCTTTCACGTTTGATTTTTTGATTTTGCATCGTTGAACGTTCCTGTCAATAATATTTTAGTTATAAGGGTATTTAGGCTTAAGTTTATTTGGGTTTAAACATAATTTGTGTTTGAGATTTTTGTTTGAGTTTATTTGTTGGTATATATTTACTAGACTACTTTGGCGTGATTTATAATTGGAATGAAGCCTTTTCGGGCATGGTCGTATTTAGAGTAGTCAATTAGGGCTTAATATTGAATGGACTTGTAAGGTTCTAGATATGGGATTCTTTGGGTTTGAGGATTTTGAGCTTGAGCCCAAATGACGTTGAGTTTTTTTTTTTTAGTTGGAAGCTATTAAGATATTGTAGGTATTTTGGATAGATACGCTTTAGATACGTAACTAATTGGGCTTGAAATAAATTGTTCGTTATACTATTTCAACTCGATGCTAAATTAAATGTACTTCTTCCTGAATCAGTTTTAGTTTAAGGCAATTTTGTGATTCGAGTTATTTAGAAAATAATCTTTTAGAATATTGTTTAATGAACGAACTGAAGTTTTACGAAAAGGCTGCAGCGTCAAACAAGGAATGCGAAGCATGAACAGATTGCATTTTCTAGATTTTCTGAAGGCATTTAATACAGTTCCATATAAGCTGAGTCATCAAGCGAAAGTAACCGGAAGGTTGCTCACATGGATAAGTGATTATTTTACCTGTAAAGAGAGGCTTATGGTGAGTGAAAAAGCATAAGAAGGAGTGCAAATATTTAGTAGGAAACCACAATTTTCGGCAATTTGACAAGTTATATTTCACGTATACGCCAATTTAATATACGATAGTGCATTCAAATCAATATTAACGATCAACGCCAATTTGATGATCAGGAAGTGCACAGATGGATTATAAAATTAAGCCGGGGGACCTGGATAAGCTTCAGGGTTACTCTAATTCAGTCCTTTCGTGTTGTCATAACGGGCTTTAATCAATGAACGAAAACGGTTGAACTAAACAGAAACAAACCTTCTGACCTCAGCATAGAAAAAGTGATTGTTTCTGAGCTGCGATGATTTACAGTACCGCGTTATTTGTCCGTTGGGGGATCCTAACGTTAATATTTGATGTGTTGCTTGTAAGGACGAGTTGTGATCTAATATATGAATGCCCGTTTTCCTCATAGATACATGCATGTAATGAAATATATTTACTAAACAAGATGAAATTATACGGAGAACACTTCCTGAAACAGTACAGAAACACCTGAGAGTTTGTATGATGCATAACCTGCCATCAGAGACTCTCATTATCAAGATACTATGATCACCATATGTTAAAAACAAATAGAGGGATAACATTTCGGAAATCTCGAAAGAAAGTATTCAGTTTACTGCATACAGATATGAGGCCAAATCTGATATATGCAAACCCAGCCTGAAAAGCCAAACTAAAGGATTACAGCATACTTGCAAAAGTTCATAGGTATGCAAAGAGGCTCGTACCCCAACTGCAAAGATTAAAGTAAGGAGCTCACTGAACTCGAGTGAAAGAAAGTCGGACTCGAGAAGACTTGATTACACACATATATGACTCAAGAAATTAATATATATAATATAGAGGAAATATTCAGTATACGGCAGGGGAAAGGAAAAAGGAGGCGCATTGTGACGTTGGTGAAACCATTATTTGCTTGATGGCAGTGAACAAATTAAATGACTCGAGGGAATGAGCAGAAGCTAACACAGCTAGACAAATTAAAACACATATGACAAGAATATGGGCATTGGGATTCAGTTCATTAAATAACCTATAGCGGTAAGAAGGAGCATAGGAGTTTGTGCAAAATCATTTAGATGAGAACCAACACCATTCCCAGAACAAACCGAAATGCTAAAATTTTCCCTTTCTCTTCCGGAGATCCACTTACCTTAAAGACACAAATAATCCTTCGAATAACTGTACCTGATTAAATGAAGTTTTACGCGAGATCTCATTAGCCGAGGCTCAGCAGAAGTACTAGTTTAAACAGTGCTAAAAAAAATTCTCTCCTCGATGAAGGGACTGTGATTGTAAAATAATGCAACATTTAT